CTTCTACCTAAAGCTTAAACCTTAATTGAAATTCTCTGGATCCTTTATTGGGGATTTGGGGTGAATTTACCCCAGCATTAAACCATGTCACGGGTCAGCTTTTTAAAAATTATTTCAGGGCTGCTTAGGATGACAAATAGGGTCTTTCATTTCACTTTGAGGAAGCTCTCTCTAGCTTTATTTGCCTTGATCAGCCATGGTCCTTTTATGAGTAACTTGGCTGTTGCACCTGGAGAAGGATGAAATGCTAAATCAGAGCCACTTTCCCATCCTCCTTTCCTGTCTGATCTTCTAGGGTTGAATCTCTTTTTGGAAGAAGTGATTGAACTCCTCCTCCTAATACACAAACACACGCACAGCCTTTTGGTTAGGCCTGGCTGTGCGCAGGGCATCAGAGAAGCAGCCTTGGGGGTCCCAGGGAATCCGCCGGCAAACAAATTTAAACAAATAAACAGCACGAAGGAGGGGTCTTCTCTACAGGAAGAAACTGATTTGTGAAACGGATCCATGCAGGGAGAGCCAGTGTGTCATGAGGAAGCCAGGATCAATTGGTTATAATGGGATGGAACTGGAATAAGTGGAAAAATCAGAAAAAAGCAAAAGGGGAAAAGAAATGGGGTTGCTTACGCTAACCTCAACTCTCTTTCCACCTCTTTTGCTTCTGCAATGCCTTTGTCTTTTGTGTTGCCTGTAGGTAGACCTTGACTTACGACTACAATTGGGATTGGAATCTCGCTTGTTTAGCACAGTGGTCATTGTGTAAGATATCACATGATGGCTTTGCCCAGTTAGGGTAATTCTGCACTTACTGCTGGGGATAAGGGATTTCACTGGTCTTTAAGTGGATGAAGTCCCAGATAAGAAGCACTGCTTTGTCTGGCGGGTGGGGGTAGGGGAGACCATTGGAGTTCTAGCACAATTCTTTTTTCTTTTTGTATAATTTTTTTTCTTATTTACAAACACATTGTAAAAATTGTTTGTAAAACAGTATAGTACCAGGGTGTCTTACATTTTTAAACAAATATGACAATATTGTTCATATACAGTTGATAATCTTATAAAGTTTCATATTAATACACATAGATTCTTTGATTATGCACCATTTCAGTATTCTATTTTTATGTCAATCTCCATATTCCAGATATTTCTCTTTCTACAGGTAGAATATTAATCATATTTGTAGTGTTTAACGGATTGATGTGATTCCAATAATTCACCAATTTATATTGAATTATAATCTTTCTGTATTTATCCCCTTTCTAATTTTTAATTTTGGCACTATTATACCACTATTTTAAAAATATCTCCTTTCAAATCACATTTTACAACTTAATGACAAAAAATAATTATATTTACATTTGAGAAATTATATAATTCTAATAATACAGTTGCCTTGTCAAGTTATAGTCTTTCATTATTCCCTTCTTCAGTGTTTTAATGTTATTTTTATATCAATCAAATTCTACCTATCATTCCTTTTCTCATTGAAATTCTATAGTCCCTTGTTAATTCCCGTTATAATGTAAAAGTATCTATTCCATTAATCTCCCTTTCTCTAAAATTATCAATCTTAATTATTCAATATTACCATATGTTATTTTTGTGTAAATCTCTATATTCTTAACATCATTCCTTTTACTATTGATACTATATTAATAGTCATATTTGCAGTGTTTAACAAGTTATATAATTCTAATAACCATTCATAAATTCATATTGAATTATATGTTCCCATTATTTATTCCCCTTTAGTTTTTAATTTGCCACATATTTAAGGAAAAGTCCCCTTCTAGTCTCATTTTGAATGAAATAATATTCAGTTTACATTTAACAAATTGTACAATTCTAATAGTATAATTACTTCTATCTTATAAAATAAGATTTCACTATTTTTATGTCAATCAGATTCCACATATTTCTTTTTCTACCATGGAATGGTAATATTCATGTTTATTACATTTAATGATTGTATATCTTTACTAATATTATACACACATTTATGTGGAATCCTAATCTTTTTCTTCCCTTTAGCCATCATCTCTTACTCGCATTAGAGCTTTGATCAATCGTTTCTTAGCTTGTCTCCCATATTCCTCTCTTAAATTTTCGTCTCTATCATTTTTTGACAATTCCTCTTAATCATTCCTCCCTTCTCTACTAAGTTCAATTGTTTCATTTTCAAGTTATCTACTCTTATCCCTTTCCTTCTCCCAAAAAAATCACCCTGAAATTCCAATTCCTCTTTGGCTTCCCTTAAAGCACTCTCCCCTTGGTTTAGTACTTCAATCGTTTTTATTTTTATTTCCTTTTTGTCATTTCTTTTTATTTGTTGTTCCATCTGTTCTATTTTTCTGTTACTCTTCCAATTGGCTCCTCCCTTTCCTGGATCTCCTGTTTTCTTTCTGTCATTTGCGTCTCCATTTCCAGGCCTAGTTCCGTGCTCTGTATTTTATTCAAAATGTCCTCAAATCTCTTTGTCATGGTGTCTTTAATGTCCTGAAATTCCAATGCAAATTCCTTACAAATTCCACCCTTATTTTTATTTACTTCTGTCCAATTGTCCAACAGTCCTTTATTCATACCAAAGTCACTTTTCAGATTAAAAATCCAATGTCCAGGAATCTTTATAACCCAAAATTAATCGGTCTATTCTTTTAAATAGTTCGAGGGTGAATCCTCCACCAGTTAAATCTTGTAGCTTTCCGGGCTCTTATAATAAAAGTCTCTTATTTCTTGCTTTGATTTTCCTTAAATCAGGTCTTATCAAAACTTTGGGAATCCGTAGTATCTTCTTTTAATAGTAAGTGACATTCTTGAATCAGTTTTCACTTTTCTCTTTTTTTTCCCCTTTCTCATCAAACTTTACTGATATTTATATTTACTGATATATATATATATATATTATAATGATATATATATTAGCATTTTAAAAATGCCTATTCAAAACCAATGTCTGTCCAATCAAAAATTCCAGTTTTCTGTATTTTTAACGAATTTACTATTTTCTTCTTTTATTTTACTTTGCTTCTTTCATCTGTTTTTAATATTAAGAATTCTACTCCAGTGTTAGTTCACTACCAATTTTAAAATCATTATGACTCCTCTTTTCTGAGTATTCTTACCAGGGTTGCACTTAAAAGTTCAAAAGTATTCTCTCACCCAGTTTGCACACATTCACCGTCTCTTCGCTCCTGTATGATCTTGGGTATTCAAACAGCCTCCAGCTTCGTGGCAACCATTTTGGTTGCCACTGCACTCCATCTTCAGATAAGGGGGTTTTCCATGTCAGATTGGAGAGATGAAGCTCTCCTCGACCTGCCAGGCGGTCACCCTTTATTTCACCACCCCTCCAGGGTGGCTATGGCTCCAATTGGAGCCCTCTTAAAAGGGCGAGCTCGGATCGGGACTGTGAAGCTCACAGTCCTCGCTTCTGATGGTGCCAGAACCTCCGTCCCAGCACAATTCAAGTTTGACTTGAGGGGTCCTAGAGAAGCTTAGAGCAGTTTTGGAGCACATTGCTTAGAAACAGTAAGGAACATGGGGCTTGGAGAATGGTGCAAGGCTGCAAAGACCTCCTGTCTGGGGATTAAGGCCACATTTTGGGGTGGCACCAGTAACAGTGGGCTGAAGTCCAGTCCTGGGGTCAGTGGCAGATGGATGAAGGACCCAGGCCTCCACTTAAGGGGCCATCCTGGCATTTCTGCCTCATTGAGCGACTGCAGCTCTCTTAATTCATGTGTGGCTTGTGCTGTATCTCCAGGGTCTCCCTTATCCCCTTCAGGTACCTGTGAGTTCTTCCCTGGGTCTTCCTTCTTTTAACAACACCCCAAAACAATTAACAACTACAACAACAGAAGATTTTGCATCCAAGATATGTGGGAGCTCCATCAATGGAGATTTTGTCTAGCTATTGCAGACCCTGGGCAGAGAGGTAGACTGGAAGACCTTCATGGTCCCTTCCAAGTCTCAGATTTTGTTATTCCCTTCTCAAAAGGAAATAATATGCTCCATTTCTTTTTTTTTCCTAACAGAAATAAAATATTGTGATCCAACCTTTACCTGCAAGTTGACTACGACAAACAGTAGAAAAGCAGCGCAAGGCAGCCGCCGCCAACAAGTATGGAGCATGAGAAACCCTTGGCTCTCCCATCAGATACAAGTAACGTTCCAGAAAACCACCAAACAACCCATATATGCTCAGAGTGTGGGAAAACCTTTGCTTGTTGGTCCCTCCTTTTGACCCACAGGAAGATCCACTTTCAAAGTGGATCCAGTCAAGGTTTGGAGGCCGGACTAAAACCTTATAAATGCGAGGAATGTGACTTATGTTTTGAACGAAAACTAGAACTTCTTAAACATCAGAAAATCCACACTGGAGAGAAACCTTATCAATGTCTGGAATGTGGGAAAGTTTTCCGTGCAAAATCTACTCTGACAGAGCACAAGAGAATCCACACAGGGGAGAAACCTTACAAGTGTTGGGAATGTGGGAAGAGCTTTTCTCAGAACTCAACTCTTTGGCAACATAACAAGATTCATTCAGGAATAAAATCTTACAAATGCTTGGAATGTGGGAAGTGTTTCACCCTGAGAACATATCTTCAGAGTCATGCAAAAACGCACAGAGGGGAGAAAAAGAAAAAAACTTACAAATGCTTTGTGTGTGGAAATTGTTTCACCCAGAGTTCAGCTCTTCAGAGTCATTGGAAAACACACAGAGGGGAGAAAAATGTAAAGTGCCTCGAATGTGGGGGATATTTTTCCAGTAAATCAACCCTGGTGCGACATCAGAAAATTCACACTGGAGACAGACCCTTTGAATGCCCAGAATGTGGGAGAAGATTTATGTATTCTTTTGAACTTCGGAGACATCAGAAAGGTCACAAAGGGGAGGAACCCTATAAATGTGGGAATTGTGGGAAAGGTTTTCTTACACGAAAAGACATGCGGAATCATGAGAGAATCCACACAGGGGAAAAGCCGTACAACTGTTTGGAGTGTGGGAAATGCTTTTCCCGAAAACACACCCTTGGAATGCATGAGAGGGTCCATTCAGGCATTAAGCCATACAATTGCATAGAATGTGGGAAATCTTTTGCTTATAAGGAAGTACTCTGGAGACATCAGCAAATTCACTCCCGGGAAAAGCCATATCAATGTATCGAGTGTGGACAATTTTTTCGTACCACATCAAACCTTAGAAATCATATAAAAATTCACACCGGGGAAAAAAGTTATAAATGTTTAGAGTGTGGGAAAGCATTTGCGCGACCATCTTACCTTACTAGTCACAGCCGAATCCATTCAGGAGAGAAGCCCTTTAAATGCTCAGAGTGTGATAAATGTTTTTCTCAGAAAGATACTCTTTCGAAGCATCAGCGAATGCACACTGCAGAAAAAACATAAATGATCAGATTGTGGGAAATGTTTTGCCCAACCTTCATCCCTTCGCATGCACAATCGATATCACACTGGAGAGTAGTCTCACAACTGTTTGTTGCAAATCACAACTAAAATGCATCAGAAAGTCCATAGCAGAGATAAATCTCTTCAGCTGTGAACAATGCAGGGCCATACTTTCTTTTGTTTAGAGGTCACCTTGCCAGGTACTTCACATTGTGACAGAAGGGACCTGGGTTACCAGTTCTGAAGTGGGATAGGAAATCCTTTAGGGTTGTCAAGTAAAACTTTTAAGGTTTCAGTGAAGTTTTGTTTCCATGTGAACTGTATGAAAGTCCATAATCTTCTGGCCTGGGATTTTTAAAAAAATGTTTTTAGCCTATTGTCCAGCCTTAATAAAAGAAATTACACTATCCTACCACATTTTAATTTCTCCAGAGTGCACATTTCTTACATTGTTCACCCCAGTGGTTAAAAAAGCTAAATGAAGGCCTGGCTTGCTTTCTTGGCTAAAAGATGATAATAGTTTAAAGTTGCTGCCTGACTATTCTTAGTCATCCATGTCATGGTTATCCCAAAGGTACTTTTTCAAGGGGCACCTGGACTTTGTGGCATTTTTTTGAAGATGTTTTGGTTATCATCCAAGAAACAAACATCTTCAAAGCAAAACCACAAAGTCCAGTTGTCTCTTTGAAAAAAAGCACTTTGTTTCAGGGAATTGCACACCTGGTGACCAAATGGAATCAGAGACACTGACAAACTAGTTTTTTAAAATAAGTAAATACATTTACAGTAGACAAGAGAAGGAAACGGGATCCTACCAGGTGAATCAGCAGTGCAGGAACACCATGAGGTAAATCA